ACTGGGCAGATTTTCATGAAATGATGCACAACATTATGAAAACTTATTGTGGTCTTTCATTTTTCACTTATAATGGACCATTTTATTGCCCGCTTTATATGAAAATATACAGATGTTCCTGTGCATATCTCACTAAATATGTACAGGAGTGAAAAATGTTTTGAACAAAGGTTCTAGAGAAAAATCAAACATCCATTTTCTCTAAGTCCTTAAATTTGTCCAGACAGTTAAACAAATTAGATGTTATACATATTACATTTCTGAATTTCTGTTATTTAACAATCACCATGATCTCCTGCTTACCCATGGATTATCTGTTTTTCATGCTTCTGTTCCTCTCTGTTAGAATGGATATTCAGAAATATACTGTATATGTATTCACATTTCCCACTACAGTTTCATACTTACTGCGTTTCCTGTCCTCTTCCTGCTCTTTCAGAGTCTAATACCCATTTTTGGTCACTCTGCAGAAACTTTCTGGAGTGCTGTCAGGCAGATATTTATATTTCCTCCCAATACTATAGTGATAATGCTTTGTTACTCTTCTGCATATAGTATTCCCCCCACCCCAACTTTCTTTCATTTCATATTTGAACCATGAATTTGTGACACTTGTAAAAGCACATTTCCTGTTTACTGACAAACAAATGTTGGTGTAGAAACTGTATAATACTATTTACCCATGATCATTGTAGCATGTCTCAATGAATTATTGATTTAAATGGAATTGTAGGATTTCACTTTAAGCAGACTATGGCATTATATCCCAGAAGACAGAAATCTTTTTAACCTTTAAACGCCGGACTTCGAAATAGTGGTAAGCTTGAGCTGGCCGGAGTTTATTTAAATGTCCGCTGCTGGTGCGCGTTTAAATGCCCGTTGCTACGCTGCGTTTAAATGTCCGTTCCTGTTAGGCGCTTAATCAATTTTAAGCGTTGTGTTTAAAAATGCTCTATCTAGCTCAATTTTTATGATAAATGGATGGAAATAACTTTGTTTATTTCAGAAAAGAACATAGTGTCGCATATTATAAAGGAAGATTTGAAATTTTTAATACAAAGTGTTGTACTCTATTTTCAATTTTTTGTGTTTTAATTTTGATGCGTACTGCAAAAATGGTTTCCCAGTTCTTCACAGAGTTGTTCTGCATTATAACTTCATTTCTGTTTGTAACACTTGACAAATTTTAGCAGTCTCTGGTGTCATAAAACAGATGGAAGCAATAAAATCATTTGGTCTTCTGCTAGCGCTGCTTACACCCTTCGGATTTTCGAATACTTGACTGAAGGTCAGAAGAATGAAAGAATGGCTATTCAAGAGAAAGCTATAGGGGTCCCCTCTTCAGTGCTAAGATGTTCCGTTAGGGCTGCAAAAGCTTATTGCCCCTTCTATTTGAATGAACAGACAGCTGCATCGT